TCAATTTACTTAAGTATTAATAAAAGTCTGGGGCAGGAGCTACACCCCAAATATTAAAAAAAAAAAAAAAAAAGATAATAAAAGATTCGCCACAGCATTTAGGCGTTTTGACGAAAGTATAATAGCTGAAATAGAACATACAGTGGTGTATAGTCATTGTGATGCGTATATGATAAGAAACTTACTTCAACCAAAATTTCCTGATTAATTATTTCTTACGCAAGATCTCTCTAACGCAATTCAGAAAATTAAACATGACAAAAAGGTTAATGGGTCTGACACTTCTCATTTGCTAAAATTTCTTCTTAACTAACAGAAAGAAGAACCTACAATATTTGTGCAACCACTAATTAATGAAGATAGTAATCAGTTATGCGGCATATTTTGGATGACAGCAAACCAAATCTTATTGTGGTTTCGTTATTTTGATGTTGTTTTGCACAACAATACCTCAAGAACAAATAAATACAATTTCCTATTGTTATTATTTATTCTTGTCGACAGTGAAGATAAATCACGTCTTGGTGCACAGCCTTTTTAAACGATGAGATACAAGAAAGTTATAAGTGGGTTTTGCAGCAAATGCTAGACGCAACTAGTTCTGAGCTGAATGTTTTTATTACTGATATGGATTCCGCAATAAATGCTGCATGTAAAAATATATATGAAAATACGTATCACTTACATTGTATTTGGCATTTGTCACAAAAGACTCAAATCCAAGCTTGGTCACATGAAATTCAAAGAATTTCTTAATGAATTCTGAAAAGCTCAAAATTCATTGTGTGTTAATATTTTTGAACAACAGTTTCAAGCTTTAATTGAAAAATATCCTAATGCATATGAATACTTGCATAACACTCTTTATCCAACTTGACAATCTTGGGCTTGTGCATTTGTAAACAGAATTTTTACTGCGGGTATGCAATCAATGCAGTGCGTTGAATCGATTAACGCCCTTATCCACAAAGAATTTTCTTCTAGTTCAAGTATGATTAATGTAGTTGAGGCTATTGATTTTAGGATGCAAAAAGAAGCCCTAAATGCAAGTTTTATAATATGGAAATATAAGTCATTAATATATCATCAGCTATTTATTATAGAAAGACTTTTTAGTAACATCGAGGAATTAATTCAAAAGCATTTATCATATCGAATTATTGAAGAACTTAAGAATCAAATGTGTGAATCAGTTCTTTATCAATGTAAAAAAATAGAGATCGGTTCTACTATTGAATTTAATGAGGATCAGTTAGTATGTATAGGTTATATTTGAACTTGCTTTATTACTAAATTTCACATGCCTGAAGCACTTCAGACATAACTAAAAAAGAGTATGTATATATTTTTTGTAGAAACAAATAGTAAATCAGAAAGAGTATAACGGCAAATTCAATGAAAATCAAACGGTAAAATAGCTTATTAAACTACAAGATTTAGAGCCCTGATAGTATATCGATATTAATATATTATATATGCTTAGAATACGGATTAAGATGAGGCCGTCGAAGATTATTATGACTTCCAGCAAACATATTTAAAGGCATTAATGAATTCTGTTTCGAATAATACAATTAAAGAAGTCTGGCAAATTATTCCCTACATGGCACCAAACTCATATCAACATATTATTTTACTTGATGATAACATGCATTTATGTACATGTTTGCTTCTGGTTTCATGTAGTATCATTTGTCGACACTATTTTAAGTTGATGGTAGAAAATCCAAGTGCATTATTTCACGTAATGCTAATGCCAACCAGATGGTTTCAAAATGACTCATGGGAGCATTTGGATCTTATTTCTAAAGAACCGTTTATTGGATTGTCATCTCCAAAATCTCAGGATAAAAATATACAACAAATTGTTCCTAAACATTTCAACAATATTCAGGAAACTGTAATTTAGCATCATGTACAAAAGAAAATAGAATACAGTAGACTTATGGGTAATTTCAAAAAAGCTCTAAACTATTCGATGGAGGATAATGATCAAAAGAATTTGAATGAATTTATTTTGTCTTATATTGCAAGAAAGGAAAAAAAGCAAGAGTCTGAAGCTCAATCAGTAATTATTGAAGATCAAACATTAAATAATGATAATATTGTAAGACTAGTTGATGGTCACATATATGATGCAGATGATATTCAAGATCCAATTGCACATCAGAGTAAAGGTAGACCTGCCACTAAGTGTTTAAAAGCTTTTACTGAAGAAAATAATAAAGCATCCACTAGCAATACAAAACATGCAAATAGCAGTAATAGAGAGAAAGGAATTGAAGTATCAAGTGTATGTAGATGTTGTTTGTGTCATGAAACAGAGCATTATGCTCCTAAGTGTCCCAATCAGGAAAATTAGCACAACCAATGTAATGATCAAGAAGCATACTTAAAAGTGAATAGTATGAATAGAATGGTGGATTATATAGATTTGTATACATTTGATGTAATCGAACTATGTTTTGCGAAATATGCTTTTATTTGGGCATCTCAAATTGAATCTTTTTAGAACATAAGTATATTC